TAGAAGAATGACGAAATAGGGGCAATGATTGGTGTTCTAAAAATGCGCTCATTTTCAAATTTTGAAATTGCAAAAACTGCTTAAAAGTAAAATCAAAAGATTTGAAAGCCATTTATGGTTGCAATGCAAGATGACCAAAGCCATCAACTCATTTCGTATATTACAAGATTGGAGATGCAACCCTCTTTTAGTTTAAAAAACCTTGCTAAAGTGACATGCACATCGAGGAATACTCCCCAAGAAACATGATTATTCAATTAAAGAAAAACAGCTCTAATTATCAAGGGAATATAATTTTTCGAACCCGGACCATCCTGAGTCTAGCACGAATTTTGACGTGATCAATCTAGAATCTTAAGACGTATGAAAAGACCTATTAATCAACAACTTCAACTTTCGTATCTAGCATCGCTTTCCCATTTTACGAACGATTGCTAAAAATCAGAAGCCATCTAGTACTATCAATCTCCAACCAACCTTCATCCTCAACCGGTGCCTTATCAAACATTGATGGATGGCACCAACAGCTAGAGGTGACGATATTGGTACGTTATCTTTGCTGGCCGCTCTATCGGACAGCACTAAAATCTGGTAACCATCCAGAGCTGCGGTGCAAGCTTCGCAGCAGATTCGATCGAGTCCTGGTTCCAGACCTAAATGAGACTCCATATCTCACAGGGAATGTCGTGTCGATTACTTTGTTTCGCCAACCTTTGTACATTGTGCGTTTAATCACCTTAAACAATCTTAATGAAGAAATGCAGTGGCTTTTCTGTAAGAAAAGAAGCAACTTGAGCTTTATGTGAATTTACTAAGAAGCAAATTGATTTCAAAAGCTCAAATGTTTTCCTATCATTTTTAGCTGTTCTCCTATTTTAGTTTGAAATCCTCCTTGTATCCTACTTAACTATGCTGATAAAGTCTATTCCTAATTTTCAGCCATTGTACGTTAGCAGAGAAGAGCATTCGTAAGGAAATAAATTTATTGAATACCTCCATATCCACGAGCGAAAGCACGGGCTGCTCGAGAATTAGGCGACTTTCCAACTCGTTATTTG